GCGAAAATATTTCACAGGTTTATTTCCTCAGTTTTAGATGATGTATCGAAAAAAAATATTTTTACGTTCAAAATATTTAAAGCATATCTTTTGGGAATCCTTTCCGTACATAGTATATGTAGATACCTTTTTATTTAATGCCCCTTGATAATTCAATTTCTCCCGATATGGAGGACAATACAAAACACAAAAACGATTCCAATGAAAATTTAAAGACTGCGCGTTTGTCGCGATTTTATATGTAGACTTTTATGACGAACGACCCTTTTTAACTGACCCTTCCGAGTAAATACTCAGATATAATTTATTTATTTATGCTCTCTCAATTAAGGCTGATCGCGGACGATAATTCAATATTAAAATTTATTGCATTTTTATTATCACAAGATTTATACAGTATTCATCTTTACTAAAGATATTCACGTATTTATTGAAACAATTAAAAATTTCGGAATTTTTTCTTTAACCGTTGGGATTCTTAAGCGATATTGTAAATCTCAGAAAGAAGTTTATTGCACGAATTTATTTGATAGCTCTTAAACAATTTTAACTTGTTTAACTTACTTTTTAAATGAAACAAAACGAAAAAAAACATTTAAAATTTCAAAATTTCAAATATCTCATTTGGGAAGGCATACATTCAAGCTCTGAACATAAAATTGGTAGGTATGTTTTTTTAAATCTCTCAATTTAGTTCAAAACTCACTATTGTACATATATTATACCCAGAGAAAAAAAGAAATCAATATATTCTAATAAATTTAATAATTTTTTTCTTCGAAAACAAAATTAATATTTAAAGTTAAATTATAATACAGTTCGACTTTGTAGCTAATGTGTTAGTTATTAGTAGCTCATTTTCATTCTTCACTTAAATTGATATTTTATTGCATACTTAATAAAATTAATATCATGTTTACAACGACGCTGCATACGTTTATTGATAATTATAATTAGCTAATTAATATTAAACTGTTAATATTGAAACGGGCACGTTATAATATTCAAACGATCTTATTCAACCTGGCAATTGTAGCTTTAGCCAGGGTCTGCCTTACATGTGTGAATAGTTTTGGCTTATTGTTTTTACGACCGGCCGCCTGTCTGACATCAACCCTCTCTGGGAATGCATTAATCAGTGATGTCTAAATACTCTTAGAAAGTACATATGAATCAGGAAAAATCACATTGGTACTTGCCAGGATCGAACCCGCGCCCTCATGCATGAGAGGCGGGCATTTTAACCTCTAGGCCACCACTGTCTTGATATATATAATATGCAAAAGATATAAGATAATATTTAAGAATATTAGAACGTATATATATGTAGTATCCGTAGGTTTATTCCATGTTCAAATGAAACTAATATTATTCGTATTACTACGCGTATGTAATCAATTATTTAAAAAAAAACTACATACTCCCGGACGATATGTGAATCCGTGATCACGGTTGCTGAAAAGTAACCGAAACGTCTGTAGTATTTAGTTAAAATAATAAAATACGCGTAGTAATCCGAATAACATTTATTTCTTTATTTATTTTATTTATATAGCCTTTTAATCAGATCCTAGTACAATAGATAACTTAACTTAGTACAATAGATTTTTAAACTTATATAAATAATTGACATAAAATCTTAATAAACAGTTTAAATGAATGTTTATTGCTTGCTTATCTTTCCTAGATCGTTAGTTTCTTTTAAATGAATAATCGCGATATTATAAACTCATTATTATTCCATTTTCCATGAAGGCATTACATTTTTGTGTTACCGTAACTAAGTTACTGTTTCTGAAACGTGAAACGCGTCTTACGTAGTATGTGCAAACCTGTGGTAAGGGTAATGAATTTCACCCACATATATTGTTATGTACATAATTAATGTTTGTTTGTTTGTGTATTGATTTAGTGAGTCTATTGTTACTGTTGTTTTTCATAACGTCTCTAAATTCTATTGTTTTATAAGGATGTTTTATTATAACACATTTATTTGCTCATTGTTCTAACAATAGGTGGAACATTATTAATTAGGTTAAGTTAAGAAATTGTTACGTAAAGTGTTAACGAAATATTAATAATTTGTTTAATGTTCGACAAATATATTTAGTATAAAATGAATTTAAATGTACATAATATTTGAATTGTTTTAAAACACATCCTTACTTTAAACCTAGGTACACACAAACGTTTCTGGTCACATTTCTTACTCTTTAAATAAATATAATTACGATTAAATTCCTTTCCTAAATCTTAAAATTTATAATAAAGATCAAAGTATCTTTTTGCAAGTTTTCCCCAAGTCTGCATTATAGCATTATATTACCATATTATTCAATGAAAAATAAAACGCATCCTATGTGTGACGATCGAAACTTATACTAAGCATATACCTGTATTGTACCATACTGCCTTATTAATTCTTCAAGAATACGATCTTTATATGTACAATACTACGCCTTCGTCCCAAACACAATTACATAGTCTCAAAGGTGGTACTCTGTACATATTACATTATGATATTTGCCATCGAATCTTGACATTTAAAAAATATATCATTAAAAATTAAAAACCAATTATAATAACACTGACTTTAATTTTAATTAAATACAACTTCGTATAAATGTTTAACAGTCATTGTTGAAAAAATGATTGGTCAATTGTAATGTGTGATCATTTATATAAATAAATAAATAATTTGTGTTTATTGTGAATTCTATTTTCTTTTATATAGTCCTTGTTGTCAAAAATTACATTTAAGTCACGGTCGCGTTACTAGTGTGTGATATAAAAAATTTAATCGATAGACAATAATATATTTTTAATAGGAAAATTTCAATTAATATATTATTTTTATAACTCATTTAATTAATTTTTTTTGTTAAAACATTATTATTATATTATAAATATTATAATGAAAAGCATCCTTTTTAATTATATATATTTACATATTTTAATTATGTTTATACTCGATAGGCGACAACTTTCTCTGTCCCAATATTATTGACGTGTGATATTTTATGTGTATGCCTAATACAAGCTTCCCTGGTACTACGTACGTCGCGTTTGCCGTTTTCCATTCAATAAATCTACGTTAATACTATGAGTAAAGATTATAAAAAGAAAAACTGTTAAAGCTCCATTTGTAGTGATAAAACTTCTATTCAATTTAGGAGTTAAATTACTCAATAAAAATTTATAATAAAAGTTGATATACTTTTATTTTTGAATAATTTGAAACCTATTTTTAATATAAATATTACAATAGCAGTGTCATTTATAATGGTCAGTTATTTTTTTTAGTATTTGAAAATGATTACACTGCATTGATACTCGTATGTTTCTGTAATATAAAATAAAAATGCGTTCTTAAAATACATCCAAAATAATTAATATTTATAGATATAAAAACTAAATACATTTTGAAAGCAATTAAAAAATATATAGCTTTCCAGCAACGTTGCTTGAATACTTTAGAATTAATTGAAAAAATATAATAATAAATCTATCGACATAATAATTATATGATCAGGGTTCACATGACATCTCAGATTTATCTTCCAGAATGTTTATTTGGAAACCACTAAAAAACATATACTAATCATAAGAACCAAACATACGTTCCCTTGACCCAAAATCCAGCATCTTTTTGTTCAAATCTCTATAGATCTCACACCTACATACCTACTTATAATTATGAATAGGATTTGTTCAATAATATATATAATTGATAAATTTAAAATATCTCAAAGTAACTTTCATAAACAAAGAAATGTATTACATTCTGTATAAGAATCATTATCGTATCATAGAATTTTTATTCTTGATTATTCTTTATACTTTGTTTTATTTGAAAAAATTGGAATATAAGTTAATTGATATATTTCTTTTAGAAAAAAGTAATCTATCTTTTTTATGTATGGCTTCATTCGCACTTGAATCGTGGAATATTCTGTCAATGTCAACGTTTTTATTTGTTTGACGAATTATAATCTTGAGTACTTACTGTATGAGGAAAACACAAAGGCGTTAATCGAATGGCATAAAGGCGTTTGTTTAAGTATTATTATATATTTTTAAAGAAGATTCTAGTTATATATATATTTTTTTAAGGCTTCATTCGCACTGGAATCGTGAATAGTTAGACTGTCATCTTGACTTGTAACTATTGGAAACCAAATTGACATTTATTAATGACAATTCACATTACTGTCATATGTCTTTTAGCAAATAACAATTCTCTTTGACAATCCTATGTGTTAGCAGCCTTAAAAAATGTCATACAAGCTTAACCATGTCACATACACATATATACATATAACCAATTTTATTAAAATTAAGTATTTTTTTTTTAAAGATATATGAGATTTTATGATTGTTTAAATAAATCTATTTTAATATGAATCACATTTGAACTCGAATCCAAAGTTTAATGCACTGGATACTTTTATAACGATCATCAGATGAAATTCCATTGTGATTAATCTTCAATAATTCTTGTATGGTTGTTACGATCTTATCTTATTATTTACGTTCTGTCTGTAAAATGTTTTTTATTAGTATAACATAGTATTAATTACTAATAAATATTAATGTTTGAATTCTGATAAAATCGACGAGAAATCTCGTAATTCGTAATAATTAGCGTTCCTAACATAACAACCATAATTTAATTGTCTTCAATTTAGTTCAAAACAATAGCCCTGGAGATCGCCCGCGGCTGTATACAATGCAGTTACATATTTTGTTATGGGATTCCAAAATTATTTATTTTCAATAAATAAAACGTAGAAATTTTATCATAGCTTAAAAGACAATTATATTAAAGATTTGAGAAATTCAACATAAGTTGTGTATGATAGATAAATAAATATTACGTTATAATACTTGCTTAAAAGATAATAATATGTTATGAGACTTTGTATAACCATAAATTAATTAAATTCAAAGAAAGGCTTATTAAAACAAGGTTTCGAATACGAAAATTTGATGCAAGAATAATGCGTGAGAATTCTTCGTTTGAAGGAATTCATCTCAATAATCTTACTAAATATAATTTAGAGGAACACGTGTTCGCGTGTGTATCTGTGGGAATCGCCTGCGGTGACGAGTCGATGCAATTTGTATGACAATCGCTTAGGACATGCGAACTTTTGTTGGACCGGCCGCGGCGTGGGTGGAACATGCTTGTAGAAAACATTTATAATACACACAAGACAATTTCAAGGATTTGACAGTTTAACGAACTAACGCTATAATGACGTGGGAGTATCATTTTATATAAATTGATGACGCTATGCTTTTATTCTTCTTCTTCTATCTGACAATTTCCTAGCTTTAGACAGGGTCTGCCTTACATGTTGTGAATAGTTTCGGCTATTTGTTTTTACGACCGCCTGACATCAAACCTCTTTTTGGGAATTAGCATTAATCAGTGATGCCTAAATACTCTTAGAAAGTACATATGACTCGGAAAAATCACATTGTTACTTGCCAGGGCCAGGATCAAACCCACGCACTCGTGCATGATAGGCGGGCCTTTGAACCACTGGGCCACCACTTACTTTTATGACGCTATACTTTTATTCATTTCCTTATTAACGATTTAAGTTCTAATAAGTTTGTGTCAGTACCGCCTTGAGTTTTCCCCGTTCATACGTTTAATACATCCGCCCAAGATCCCGTTGGTAGCCCTAACTATAAATCTAAACTACAAATGGTACAGAACATAATTCTCCGTCTCACACATCTGACTATTCAATGCATCTCAAATATCTTTCCAAAGTAAACCAGCATAATACTAACAGCCATATGTAGTCAAGTGGTAACTGTAATCTTAGATACTAATAAAGTAATAAATACACACTCAACGCCTATTCAAATACGACAGTAGACATGGTATTCAATACAATAATACCGGCAACCAGATATGGTCCTTTAGTCGTGGTTTTAAATACGTAAATCGTTTGTCCGATTTAGGTATTGCTATGGTAATGCTAATAGTTCCTAACAGCTTCGTCGGAGTCAGTGAGTTAGTGATAAATCACGGGAGCCACCCGGTGTATGTGTAGTGGACAGTGGCTTAGCCGCAAAACCGTTCAGAACTCAACTTGCTTTTCACATAACTAAAGCTTTTATACCGACTTGAACTGTGTCAATGGCAGGTTCAGTTAAACGGTTGTATCCTACTTACATTAAAAACAATAATATAATATGATGAATATAATATTATTTAATATTTGTTATTATCTTATGTGCTATAATTTTTAGGCATAATTGTTCTAATATTACCAACGTGTATATAATTTGACAATCAAATAGTAGTTTTAAAATATGGAAACAGTTTTCTTCGTATAATATTCATTCCATTCGTTCAAAAGGATAGCAACATTCAATGATATTTTCTAGAAAATTTTACCGGAAACATCAGAGTCAAATGCAAAAATATTGACCGTCCATCAATGCCTCGGCTCATGAATAAAAGCTGTACAGCTTCACAAACAAGTAACGACACTGTTCTAACATCGTTACATACTAAACAACCATATTTCTTGTTCACGTCCAAAAGTGAAGGGTCCCTGGTTTACTTTTGATTATATAGATTTCACTATTAACAACTTATGAATACATAAAGTAACTTGAAACTTAATATATATTGATAAATGAACTAGGAGTATTTAGATATCACTGATTAATGCATTCTCAAAGAGGGTTGATGTCAGGCAGGCGGCCGGTCGTAAAAACAATTAGCCAAAACTATTTTACATGTTCTGTGGAAGAGAAGAATATGTTGTGCCGACCCTACATAAAGTGGGATAGGACAGGAAAAAAATGAACTATGAATGCAAAAGTGTTACATCGTTTATATAGAGTTGTTAAACTATGTACAAAATATACGTATATAACAGATCCTTGTATATAAATAACGAAATTAATATTATTACCTCCAAATGTTAGATACAAAGGTATCAATACTATGCAAATAAATATATTATCAAGAACAATAGTTTGCTCATAACAAATCAATAGTAACTTCTGTTTCCAGAATTCCTGAAATAAATATAACAAATGTTTAATTTTGATACACCATCCTCCCTTTCCCGCTCAGATGCCTCCTTCGTGGACACAACCGTGTCACAGAAAGAGGACACCGCCAGCCAGGACCTATCACTCTCGAGCAATTTAGATACACCAAAATTACCCTAAACTAATCTCAGATATTAATAGCTTATCAAATCATTATCAAAGAATAATAGACCCACAAATCTTTACGTTTTTACTATCCAGTATAGAAACTTTTTCAATTATACTGTTTTACTCATAAGATTTTATTAAATTCATATCATATAAATTCTAGAAAAAGACTTAAACATAAAAAAAATAACAACAAATAAGATTTATTAGCTTTCAAAGTCGGTGATAATACGCTTTCTTTAGAAAGCTATCAATGAAGAAAGGAAAATAAAAACGCATACAAGTTTAGAGAAATTAAATTATAATTCGTATTGAAGGAACTGATTAGAAGTGGGAAATGTGATGTTTGATTATTGAATGACTCTCTTCTGTGATGGCGGCTTTAAAAACTTACAATTGAATTTAAATATTTACAAAAACAACATTGTCAAACAATAATAACTGAAATATTAATTATATTATAACGTAAATGTCTAATTAGTATTTTTAATTTATTGCAAAATTCCCAAAACTAGGAAAGCATAAAATATAAGCAATAATTTCTAAGGTGCTACATATTATAAATATTTTTTTTTATCCGGTACACCTCTTACGAAAGTTCGCAATCTACAAAAAGTTTGTACAGGTTTCGTATTTTTTGCATGACTTTCATACGTACAATAAATAACACGCTTACGAAGCCATTTAAGATGAAGCCTTTTGGATAGTAAAATAATACTCGGGGATTATATTAATAACTCAAAAATGCCAAAAAAATGGAGTACCAATTACTACCAAAACCATTAAAAGGTCAACTACATATAGATATTTTTATTATCTCTTTTTAACTTCGCAATATTTTTTTTCATATATCGTAACATACATACATACATATATATAAAGGAGAATAATTATAAAAACAACGGCAGACCCTGGCTAAAGCTGGGAAAATTGCCAGAAAGAAGAAGAAGAAGAATTATAAAAACATCATTTTTTTTATCAAATATCTTATTTGATGGTTTCGAAGTTAAATATAATCATTATAACGCATTATATTATTTATATAATAATATTAAAATCGTTCTACACTTGTATTAATTATGCATATCATACTATTTGCAAATAAATATCTGATAGCGTGTCAATAGAGCACACTTTCGCTTAATTATCTTACAGGTCGTTAAACTGCGTTCAAAACTATACTGTACACTAGTCAACTCCTTTCTAAATGATTTTTTTTTTCATAATGAAATTGAAAGCATTACAATAATTACTGATAATTTGTAGATTACGATTTACTACTTTTACAGCTAGCATTGGTAACTTCGACAAAAACATATTCGTTTCGTTCTAATACAGTTCTTAATGTCTACAAATTATACTATGAAACAGTTGAAGAATTTTGAAACATGTGTTTTTCGGATACTCTTTTTAATTGTTTTGTAACTACATAATCTCGAGGTTTCGGTTCCTTTACAGCAACCGTGATCACGGACAGACGAGATGAAAATATCTTTATACTGGGGTCATGTAGATATAAATTTATAGAAGAGACGTAGTATCAGAAAAACTTCGTTTCATTTAACATGAAAATCCTATATATCTTTATTTATATATTTTATTTATATTTATTTATTTCTAAGAATATTTAGATATCACTGATTAATGTATTCCCAAAGAGGGTTGATGTCAGGCAGGCGGCCGGTCGTACAAAACAATTAGCCAAAACTATTCACAACATGAAAGGCAGACCCTGGCTAAAGCTGGGAAAATTGTCAGGTAGAAGAAGAAAACCTTTATTAATATATTTAATAAAAGTATATAATATCGTCAGCCCTGTTTCCAATTAGCAAGGTCGCATGGCTATTGGTTTCAAGAACCGCTCGCTCGTAGCGGTTTTGAGTCGTTTTTATCACTTGACATTCCTATTTGCCGTTCGGTCTCGTTGACTGCGAGGTATTTCTATTGACTGACGGGATACTGCTTAGTATAAGTCTGCATACACTACGTACGACGCGTTTCCCGTTTCTTATAATGAAGGAAAACTAAATACGTAAAGTATTTAGTATGGTAAACGATAAAATCTCTAGCATATTCTAACAACTACCGCCAACGCATCTACAAACACTTCTGTTGCGAAATCTATGGTCGACGGTAACTATGTACCATCAGGTACGTACAGGTCTACTCGTTTGCCACTTTGGGACACAAAAAAAACCTGTTAGTTTTTTCATGATAAGAGCTATATTTTTTATTAATAAAGATTTAAAGGTAACGGAAGGGGAAGTTACTAGTATGTCTTAATAGACTATTTATTAACTTGTCACTCAGTCCGGATGTATTCTACATTTAAGTTAGCTTATGCAATGCATTGAACGATCAACACGCAATACCTAAAATTAAGATCCGTTTGCATAACTTAACTGTTCAACTTGAGACATACAACTTAATGATATAATAAATTAAACACTAAATAATTATTAATTGTGAAAAAAATATCTCAAAAGTCGTGAATATTGAAAATATTTCAGCTTAAACTTTCTTCTGATAATCTGCTTCCAATGTAGATACGCGGAATTATCGAATGGTAGTTACGCGGATTTCCACTATCACCGACGACATTTTAGAAAAGTAATTGAAACATTTATAGTAAAAATTAAACTAGGCCTATTCTACTCATACCATAAATTTGTACGTCTGTGTGTATGTCTGTAATCTTTCACGCAATATACATATATTGAATGGATTTCAATCTAATTTTACTATCATTCTGAAATAAAAATAAAATATAAATGGTATTTATTTCGAAGTATTTTCTATGGAAACGTTTTTAATAATTTAATAAATAATATGCACAATTTCTGTTCCTTGGTCGCTACAGTAAGTACACCCTAACTATTCAACCGTATAATAATCTATATAAAAACATTATCTTTACTGTTCTCCTACATAAAATGTATTACTTCTTCTTCTACCTGGCAATTTCCCAGCTTTTGCCAGGGTCTGCTTTACATGTTGTCAATAGTTTTGGCAAACTTTTTTTACGTCTGGCCGCCTGCCTGACGTCAACCCTCTTGGGGAATGCATTAATCAGTGATGTCTAAATACTCTTAGAAAGTACATATGACTCGGAAAAATCACATTGGTACTTGCCAGGGCCAGGACCGAATCCGCGTCCTCGTGCATAATAACCGAGGCGCGCCATTTAACCACTAGGCCACCACTGACTATAAAATGTATTACTGTTGCAATGAATAAAACGCCTTGTAGATTAGTACAAAAGATAAAAGACAAAACGAAGAAAAGATAAAAGGTAAAAGACGATAAAAGATAATTTCAAAAATTTAAGTAAGCCTTCTAATAAACGCACAATTCGTTGCTAACCTTTATGTTAGACTATTGTGACATTTCGGCGGCCAAAATGCCGAAATCGTGAGCTATATAATATATAGATAATCTATTGTATAAACATTTTTTATTATTATTACGCTTTATAGTGTACAAAACAAAATATACTGTTAAAAATATGTCAATACTTTTTGTATTGTAAAAATTAAGTACCAAGATTTATTTTTCTATTAACAATTATATCGTTTAAAAAGTTTAATTAACGAAATTACCTCGTAAGTCTTTTATAAAAATGACTAAATAATTCTTCATTTCTTGTTTCAATTCATGCTTTAATTTATCCGTAATATAGTACGTAAATATTATTTAATTATTTTATTTTTTATTTATTAATTAATTGAATAAAAAAACAATTTGTTTCAGGGCAAGTCGGTTATACGGCCGATAGCGTTTAAGCCGCTCGGCGGGCGCCTCTCTGCGGGCGGAGAGCGTTATGGCTCGACACCAGTACTAGCAAGCCGCCCGCCATCGCTTATGACTTTATACGGTAGTAAGTAGATTATAGCTATATCAATTTTACTGATTAGGAAATACAGAAAAAGTTGTTCCAAAAAAACTTCTATAAGATTGCTATAAGAATTAATCCAGTTTATATATGGAAGTCAATAGATTCTTAAGCTGTTTAATTCCTAGGCAACACCAAAAATATTATCAGAAATCCGCATCCGCCGACGCTTATATTTAAATAGGTGATTTAAATTCAGACTATAGTGCACCCACTCGTATAAAAGAATAGTTTGAAATAAAAGGTGTTGATACTTTCGTAATCTCACACCGTTACTTTTCTTTTAATATTCAATATAAACTATATGGTATATCATTAACAAGTCTTCTTCATTGTATAAATGTATTTTGTACTTGTAAAGGTTCGTCAGACGTCCGTGAAGCTCGTTGGTGTGGGTCCCCACAGCCAGCGTCACTGTCCGCTCTGCCACCGCCTCCGCTCTCCGCTCCGCTACATCAGCGACACCACTCAGCAATTGTGTAAGTAATATCATTAAAATAAAATAATCAAAATCTCTTCATCCGCTTAATATAAATCACTTATACTGAATTTTTTATAATACTAATTTATTAATATATTAAATTAATTAAAAACATTCTACACTACTGCGCTTTTGATAGCACACAATAAGGCAATAAGGCAATCCATAAATATCAGAAAATTTACTAGTCTTATTGAACATTAAGCAGATCGACTATGAAACTAAAAAATTGGAATAATCAATTGTCTTATCTATCATTAAAATATAAAAATTTTAGATATTTTTATAATAATTTCCGCTTATTTCAAACAATACAGTAATATTAACACATAATGCATGTATCCGTTTGAGCCTATCAGATTCTTCCCATGTTTATTTGATAATTATCACTTTTATTACCCGCATCCAACAATTTAAACTCGCTGTGAAGGACAAATTGTTTGATGGTCACTCAATTATAAGTCATTGACTCCGTCCATATAAAAACTACCGGAGAAATTAATCATAGTCATAAAACATCCGATACTAATTCTCAACAGGATTTAATTATAATAAATTATATTAAATATTATGAAACAGATATGTATTTTAATATAATTTCTTCAAATATAAATCAAAGGAGAAAGTAAAATAATATTTTTACATCACCGCTATCAGTGAGGCCACAATATGTTATTGTCAGAAAATCGCTACATCAGTACTCAAAGTAAATATTTTCATTCTTCAATAACTTTAATAAGTCATATTTATAACGATTTTTAATTACATATATTTTATTTATTTCATTTATAAGTGTCAAAGATTTTAAAGCGTGCTTAGGAATTCTTTTATGTACATGATATCACGTCTTAAATGACATCACCTGATTCTAAAACAGACTATTTTAGTTTTGCCACATCAATAATATACCGATATATATATATATATATATATATATATATATATATATATATATATATGTATATATATTGTTTACCTTTACTACAATTCTTTTAATATAGTTTTGGCGTATTTTACAACAGTTTTTTATGTATGTATTTTATTAGTCATTGGAAAGTACTTGACTGGTAATTAAAAATTAAGTCAGTGGTGGCCTAGTGGTTAAAAGGCCCGCCTCCCGTTCCCGAGGGCGCGGGTTCGATCCTGGCCCTGGCAAGTACCAATGTGATTTTTCCGAGTCATGTGTACTTTCTAAGCGTATTTAGACACCACTGAGAGACGGTGAAGGAAAACATCGTGAGGAAACATGGACATATAGTTTCACAATTATAAGTTTGAAATCAACAACCCGTCTTGAGCATGTGTGGTGGTTAATGCTCGAACTTTCCCCATGTGAGAAAAGGCCTTTGCTCAGCAGTGGGCTCTGATAGGCTAAAAAAATAATTAAAATAACGCCGCAAATAATTACAATTGTCTAAATAAATATGTCATTATCGACATTAAGATAAAAAAAATAATGAATAGAAGGAAAGTCACATGACAATTACTGTTGTAATCCTTGTTTGAATTAACTAAAGAAGAGGAAGTAAATTGTTAAGCAGAAGTATTTTAGTACTATATTGTCATTCATTATTAAAGATGGTAAATTATATGGGAATATATTTGTCAAGTATAATATGTAGTATGTAGTATATGTAGTTCTTTATTTCTGTCAGAAATTTATTAATGTGTTTACTTCGGTTTTGCTAACTTGTAAATAAAACACATTAATCGGCTACAATGTTTTACGATTTAAACAGATTTTGTGATTACATTTGCTATTCATTAACCCTAGAGTAGTCGCGCCTTCTCGTGAAACGCGAGTGATCGCGTAGGGAGCATTTTGCCGCCCGTACTTAATACGTTTTTTTTTTGTTAATATGAATCATATGCATTTGTAATTATGTTTTAAAGATAAAATAAAACACCAACTATAAGAACAAGAATCATTTATTAAACTTTTTTAATTAGAAATTAGAAAACAATGCTTTGGAAAATCTTAGGTAATTATTTTAGTATTTTTGGAACTTCCTCATTATTATTTAAATAAAAAATATAAAAATAGAACTTAAGATCTAAATCATTCGTTTTCCTCATTTACAGCATGTATTTCATCAAAACAATGCTGGCACATATATATGCAATGCTCATTGCACAGTAATTTTGCACATCTATTGCACCCTTTTTTTGTCCTTCTATTTTTCTTCGATGGACATACTGCGCATATTCCTTCTCGAACTGAGGGTATATTTTGATGTTCCGGTGGCACAAATCGAGCGATTTGGTTCCTCAGATCCTTCTGTAAAGTAATCACGCCGGATCGTCTAACGATATGTGGTCTAATCATAGCCACGTTGTATACGCCTCGAAGGTCTCTGGGACGTGCTGACTAGGGATGGACTTCGACTTACTTGCGTTACAGTAGAACTACGTGTGATAGTTTGCGTATTTTGTATTACTGCGGCTCCAGCTCCACGACCACGGCTACGACCACGCCGTAATGACTCCTGAGTAGGCACAGGTGATACGCGACAGGTTGATGGCTCATCCTTGTCAGATTCTGCCGCTGATTGCTCCGTGTCAGTACAATGATCACTATGTTCACTTTCCCGGTCGCTTTCAGACACAGTTTCATCTTCGTCGCCATCGTTCTCCTCTTCCAACCACGCAAGTATTTGTTTGTCTTGTTTGTTTGTCATTTCACACGATATTTATCTAAAAAAGAAATAAACTAAGCATAATAAAACAAAAACACAAGGCCCAATAATTAATTAAAACAAAGTAAAATTAATATCATACCATATTACCATTAAAATAATACTATACGCAATTAAAACAAATAATATTTCAACATTAGTAAAAACTAAGATCCACAAACTTTACTTACGTGAGTAGTCGCGCGGTGAGCAATTTGCCGCCAAACGCGACACAGCCCCAACAAACTTTGTCTCCTGCGGTCATTCGCGCACTGATTTAATTCTTATTTCTAAAACAAGAAGGTTAGGGACGGGGGGGCAGCTACCCGGATGCTTGACCTTGACAATTGCATAGTGTACAAAATAAGACGAAAATTGTGCCGCGGGCGGCAAAATGCTCATAGCGCGAGCACTGTAGGGTTAATATAGTAAGCTTATATAAAATTTAACTTATTCTACTAAATTAATACATAATATTTTTCTATATATACATATATAACATCAAAGTAATATTTTGAATTTATATGTTTTTATAAATTTCATTACTTTAATATATTCAATAACCTCACCGTTCGGTACTTAACACAAATCTATGAAAAAATAACACAATAAAAACTTAAAAAACAACATTCTTAATAAAATAAAAATACTTAGAAACCTTGCTATGAACATAAATAATAATTTAAAAATATTACCAAGGAGGTACTATTCATATTATTTGTTTTTTAATCCAACAAGTAGTAATAAAATTCTACATTCGTACAGTAGCGTGTTATAGAGCATTAAACTTACAAATAACACATTGAATGAAGAGTAAAAGTCTTGTGTTCATTTCCCTGATACCGTTCCATACAGTGCAGAACTAATTTAACACTATCGTTTGTATATTTTTCATATATAAATAAGTTAAAATAATAATACATACACAATTATTGTGAACTTCGGGGTATATATACATATCCACAGAATATATTAATTTAAATATTATTTTTAATGTCATTATTTTTATTCTATACAATTAGTTTACTATGGAAATGTTTTATTCTTATAGATCTTTATCGATAGTAAGTACTCCTTGCTTGAGATTGAAGACTATTGGGTACTTGAGTTTATATGAAATGATGTCATAATATTTTTTTAGTTGTTCTATAGAAAAATAAGTTTTATTATATCAGAAGGGGTGTGTGGTTGGTCATTGGTTGAGATAAAAACAAAAATATTTTTTTAAATATATTTCTAGGACACTTAGTTTTATACATATAAGTTTCATCCATACGATCACGATGAGACTACTACGCGTGAAGATTTATAAATGAAAACTTTAAACAGTTTATATTTTGTTTACGATACAAACTTCTACTAGTCTTACAGTTCGTTCAATGAGACGAAACTTCTTATCATTCAACGTATTCACGGTGCGTGTGTCGGGTCCATCGTTGTAGTGAGAGGAGCTTCAACAGTGACTGGGACTTGCGACCCAGGTGTAGGTTTAAAGTCATCTATCTAACGCGACTTAACGCGCTCCACTATCCAAGCTCCTCTTTTTACCTAAACCAAAATTAAATAAAACCAATATTTCGTATGAGCCATTCTTTTACATAAACACTCAAATATTATCAATCGATATAATTCCAATAGATAATAATTATTGATAACTATAGCTAGTGACTCACGGCTCCGTACAATACTAATTAGAGATATAAATGGAAGTAAAACATGAATCCTCGGGTTCCTTAACAAATAGACACGGGCAGCTAAAATGTAGCTCAGATTAATCTACATAAATTATTTGAAAAAAATCCTTTGACATTTTCATTTGAATTTTTATTATTACCTACCTTTAATTTTATTGACAATATTCAAAAAACACAAATCTATTTTCATGACATAAAACATATAAAAATATATCATTTTTCTTTATTTTATATATGTCAAGGCCGTAAAATAATAATATAAATTGTCAATTAAACGCGGAGTCATTATTGTTGTGTTACGTTTTATCGCTCACAACACGCTCGCTTCAAGTCTTCAACATTCACAAATGCTGCATAGTGGTGTTCGCGCGTTTAGTTTGTGTAGTGACATTCGTTATGTGTTTATGGATTTTTAACAATGTTTAGGTGAGATTTTATATATATAACTTATATAATATATGGTAAATAGTATTTTTATTATATGCATTAATATAATAATTGCTTTATGTAACAAAATTAAACATTATCCGAATTCAAGATCCTAGATATGCGTTCGCGGAAAGATAACTATTATTGCGCTCACGTGATGGTCATTTGATGTTATTGTAATTTGAATTCTATTGTTTGAG